TATGATCACAAATATGATCATATGTATGATCACAAATATGATCATAAATTATCACATCTATGATTATAAATCATGATACATATGACCACAATTATAATCATACATATAATCACAATTATGATCATATATATGATTACAAATATGACCATAAATGATCACATGTATAATCACAAATGTGATCATATGTATGATCATAAATGATCACATTTATGATCATAAATCATAACATATATGACCACATATGATCACAATCATGATCATATATATGATCGTAAATTATTTTAAATGGTAATATGTATGATCACAAAGATGATCATGTGTATGATCATAAATCATAACACATATGATCATATATATGATCACAAATATGATCATATGTATGATCAAAAATATCATAAATGATCACATACATGATCGTGGATAATCTTCTATGGTTATAAATGATCACATTTATGATCTTCTATGGTCATGAATGATCATGTATGGTCATAAATGATCATATATAGTCATAAAATATGATCAAATGAACAAAAATGATCACATATGATTAGAAATGACTACGTTAAATCATAAAAATGACCACATATGATCATAAATGACCACCCAAGGTCACATGCATGACCAATAATGCCTTTATAGATCTATATATGATATTAATTGATCACATATGATCATAAATAATTATTACCACAAAAGCTAACCTCAAAAAAATTTAAAAAAAATTTTTTTTTTAACAATTCTTACATACAAACATAAATTACCAAAATATTTTTTAAATGCATTTTAATTTCTGGCGTCTATTATAACTACTTTAGTTACCATTTAACTTCCTATATTAGTTAGTGAAAAACAAATACTGACAAGATATTAGATATATATATCATATATATAATATATATATTTATATAAAAAATTATATATAAACGTTACATTTGTTGGTTACTTAAACGGACAAAAATGCGAGTACTTTGGATTAAATCTTTTTCTTCTGTTTTAGTTTAGTGATTATTGTTATAATAGTTTATTATTTTGGAAGGCACTGGTGATAGGCAACTCCTTGAGCTTTTTTTTTTTTGTTTATTACACTGGGTATTTTTTTTTGACCAACAAAAAAAATAATTAATCGCCCTTTTTTTTTTTTTGAAAAATTATTTTATAGAGAAAAAAAAATTCTAACGTACAAAATTATAAAATGACTAGCAAAAAATCCTATTGATTATTATTATTATTTTATAAATAAATAAATTTTTTTTTGAGTCTTGAGATTTTTTTTTTAAATATTAATTATTAATTAATTAAAAAAAAAAAATTAATAAATTTTTTACAATAATTTTGTACAAAAATTTTTTTTTCCCTATTTACAGAAAATATTTTTTTTTTCGTTGATTAATCGATTGGTTAATCGATTAATCGTCAATTAATCGTCATTAATTGTCTACATCTTTGCTAATAAAAAAAAATGAAAAAAAGTGTAGAATGCCGTTTACTTTCCCAAATAAAGGCGCGTCATAAATTAACCAAAATTTTGTTTTTAACCATTAATTATTAATCAATTAATCAAATTAACGGTTATTAATGAATTAACCTAATTAATTGTATTAATGTTAATAATAATAATAAATTAATAATAAGTCTTTGACTCTTTCATTTTTGCTGACAAAAATGAAGAATTAACGGATGATTAATCACCATTAATCATTAATCATTTTCGATTAATGATTAATCATCCGTCGGTAAAATCAAATGTGATGTTGGCAGTTTTTTTTTGTGATGTTTCGATGGTTAATTGTCGCGTTAATCGTTGATTAATCCTCGATTAATCGATTAATCGATCACTGACTGGAGCGCTTCCCTTCGTTGACGGAGGCCAGTCTCGTCAGCTCGACGTTCCAGCTCGGCATTCGTGTCTGCTCTATCGATGGAAACATTATCGGCTGAAATAAAAAGGATTAATTGATTAATCGGATGATTAATGGGCTCTAGCGAGCGAATGAGTGGGTTTAGAGAAAGGTTGTAAGGAGCTTTTTGTAGAGAATTTTAAGAGCTACAAAAAAGGTCTGGGGTGTTTTTCTGTAGGAAGTGTGGTTCAAGAGTTAATCGGAATTAATCATGATTAATGAGTAATTAATTAGTTCTAGCGAGTAAACGAGTGGATTTAGAGAAAAGTTGTAAGGAGCTTTTTGTAGGAAATTTTAAGAGCTACAAAAAGATCTTGAGTGTTTTTATGTAACTGCCGTAGGTAAGGAGTTAATCGACGTTAATCATGATAACACGGAAAAAAGAAAACAGGAATAATTGACTATTCGTTGAGTATTTTTTAGATTTTTAAATAGTAACCCAGCGCTTCGTTAACGAAAATCTAAAAGTTACAGCTTGGCGCTACGCAGTAAGTTTTACATTTTGAGTAAGAAATATTAGAGTTTCACCATGTATAAAAGTTACTATCTCACACTGTAATTTTTTGTACAAGTCATTGAAATAATACTCGATAAGCGTTAAAATTTAGATTTTCATTTAACAAGTTTGAATCCGATTTTTTACACGGAAATAAAAAAAAAATATCAATATATAAAATATTTTTTTTCTCCCATTAATAATACTCACTACCTAAATATTTATATCCTAATATTACAATAAGTAACAATCTGTCATATATTGAATTTTAGTGTGGCAAAGATGGAAAACGGCAATTCTAAAGTCTATATGTGAAACAAAAAAAAATTTTTTTTTGAATGAAATTTAATTTTTGGTATTGGTTATTCATATATTCATGGGACATATTTCTTATCATATTTATTTTCGAAGTTTTTAATTTGAGGAAGGGGAGAGGGGATTAGTATTAGGAAATTAGTTGATCATATCACACACATACTCGCGTTCCTTATATAAATAAACTTATAATAATATTAATCGCAAATTACCCTAGCGAGGATTCGATCCCAGCGTCTACGCATGAAAGACCGACGTTTTATTCCGACGCTATTCGAACGACATAGCATTCTGTGTAGTAGAGGGTAGTTATAAGCTACAAGCGTAAATAGTATGCGTCAACAATAGTGACTGAAAAAAACTAAGTCCAATTTATACGAGAGAGGGGATAGAATTCTCTACCGCTATTCAAACATTGCTGAGCCAAACGTTAAATTTTGGATTTTAAGCACTAAGTTCCTGGCTGCTAGAATATTGACTGTACTTAATATAGAAAATCTAAAAATTACAACGTGAGATGCAATAGTTACTTTTTCTACACTAACGTTCATAATTCGTATCTCACATCACTGTAAATTTAAGTGAACCAGTAAATAAACTATATTATTTGGCATTTTAATTTGTACATTGCTGAAAAATGATAATTTTTACAGTTTTAAATAGAAATGAATGACTTTTAAAGAGATAAAATTTCCTGCATAAAAAGCAATAATATTTTTACCTTTTATGATGTTAGATTTACATTTCCAAACTATAAAATTTGCTTCTTGCATGACAACAATTTTGTTACTATATAAAATACAAAAATTACAGTTCGAACTTTAATTTTTCCTATTTTGATAACGACGGGCTTGATTTCATATTTTAAACTGTAATTATTTTTGTTTTATTTTTTCCGTGCAATATATTTAAAAATAATTTAGGGTGTCAATAATTCGGACTTTTACCTTATATCTTAAAAAATAAAGAATCTTTTTTATAGAAAATTGAATTCCCTTCTATGATTTTTTTGTAAAATAAATTGCCGAAGAAATATCGTAAAAATTCAAAAAAAAAACTCTAATTACAAGAGCTTCTAGATTTTTGATAGGTCGCCTCGGTAAAAATCACCAATTACAGATCTTATTAATCTCAAACGGTAATCTTAGGTCACAGATCATCGGCACCCAAGTGAGGAGGGTGGGGGAGCAGAGGGTGGGGATCGAGGGTAGGGGTAGAGGGAGCGAGATGATACGCAAGGGCTGCTGCGCGAAACTACTAGCCCCCTACTGTCTTGTCGTCGTCGTTCTCGTTTGTAGTCATCGCGAGCCAAGACACCAATGCCGGCTCTTGATTCTAGTGGTTATTATTATTATTGTTATTTTAATTATTTAGTGAATGACATCCGGCGGTGACACGTGTGTCTAATTATTCAAGGATACAAATTTTTATTAATTTAGTTGTAATTACGGCCTTTTTTTATTAATTATTCATCATTAGTCACCGTATTTTCTGTGCGGGTGCTTTTATTGAGTGATTTATTTATTTATTTAGTGAATTATTATTATTGTTTCTATTATTATTATTATTATTACAGTGAATTTAAAAATTATTAAATTTTATTCTTAGCCAAAAAAGTGATTTTAATTTTTTTAAGTTTCACAATTTCGAAATTTTATGTAAAAAAAATGATTTTTGTTGTGTAAGTTACTCATTTATTAATTAAAAAAAAAAAAAAAAAAAA